CCCAGTATGCGGGGACCAGTGCTGCCCACCAGCCAGTGGGTGCCCAGGACACGGTGGTTTGACCAAGCAGTGACGCCCTTGGCCCAGCCAGCAGATGGAAAGGGGGCATGTCCACGGGACCCCCTGCCACGTGGTGGCAAAGTCCCAATGCAGACACATTCCCCCTGGAGGTGGTTGCAGCATCAGAGGCCCAGGTACAAAATGCAGCACTTCTGGGGTGCTGATGAGAGGGGTCCCCAGCAGCACCTCAGTGCCCCCTCCCCCAGCACCCTGACTCAATGCACCAAGAGCTATTGCTTGGCCCTCAGAGTGCCCAGGCCTGGGGCGGGGGGGCCAGGGGGTAGACGACTGCCCCAGGGCCATGGGGGGACCACTCCTGGCCCCACAGTTTAATGTGGAATAGAACATAGATTTTTTAAAAGAAAAAAAAAAATGAAAGTAGGACTCTTGATTACAGAAACTGGTTGATTTATTTAGAGTTGAGAGAGTGAATTGTGCTTGAAGGTTCATACATGAAAAGGTTTGTCTAATTGAAACATGGGAGTTGCAGTTAATAATTAAAATTTTACCTGGATTGAGATCAGCTGTCCTTGTAAGAATGTTAATATGGAATTCCCTGATTAGGCTTTTTTATGTTTTTTGCAATTCGTAGGGGCAGAGACAGGTTATTGAGGCTAGCTAGTATTCTTATGCCAGTATATAGTGCTATTTGAAATCCTTTCTAAGTAGGGAAAATAGTGCTGTATTAGTTTCCTATTGCTGCTATAATAAATAACCACAAAGTTAGTGGTTGTAAAATAGCATATCATCTTACAGTTCTGGAGGCCAGAAGTTGAAAATGAGTCTGTGTGACTTCTGAAGGCTCTTTGCCTTTTCCAGCTTCGAGAGTCTGCCCACATTCCTTGCCTTACCACCCCACATCACCCCAATTTCTGCTTGTCTCACTGCTGTTCCTCCGACTCTCCCTCTCCTGCCCTCCTCTTTCTCTGGCAGGGCTCTTGTGATCACATCAGGCCCACCTGAATAAGCCAGGCTAGTTTCCCAGTCTCAAGATCTGTAGCTTAATCACACCAACAAAGTCCCTTTACCACAGAAGATAACATATTCACAGTGTGTGGGGCTAGGATGTGCACATCTTGGGGAAGGGGCATACAAGGCCCATCGCCATAAGCTTTCAGTGTCAGGGTTTGGGTGGGTGTGGCCTGGAGTCCAAAGTTCAGCCTCCTTCCTCTCTTGCTGGGTAGGTAAGGGTTCCTTGGGAGCAAAATCTCAGATTCTGACCTACCTCTGCCATGAAATGTGGATAGTATTCATAGGGCCCACTGTCATTGAGAGCTGGGATGGAATGTTCTGCCACAGGCACGTAGTAAAGGCTTGCACTCTCAGACAAGCATCTAGCCCAGTTCCTCACTTGTAACGCAAACTCCAAACATTCCCCACCTCTCCCTTTTTCCTTTGCCTGTTAAAGACTTTGTGAGGCCTTCACAGCCCTCTTGCTCACGTGCTCCCGAGTCACCCCAGGCTCCCGGTCGTGCAGAACTTCACAGCGTCAGCACAGTGTCAGTAGGAACGTTTGCCTTTAGAGGAATAGGAGGGCCGCAAAGAGACCGGTTCTGTGCAGGTATTGATTGGTACACTTGGAGGGGAACATAGCTAACAGAGAGTGGTAGAGGAGAAGGAGGGAGCTGGCACACCCGTGCCCAGGAGGGCAGCCCCGCTCTGGACCTGCGGCTCTTCTAATGCCACTGGCACCACTCACGCAACCTGGGCAGGTTATCTCCCTCTCCCTGCACCCCTCCTCCCGGGCCTCTGTTTTCTCATCTGTATGGTACAGATAAAAACCGTGGGTCTTTTTAAAGATCCTATCCAGCTCTTGTGCAATTAGGATGTTTGATTTTATAAAGTAACCAGGTTTTAAACCCAGGTCATATTTGTGGCAACTTGACCTAAATGTTGCTTTCTATTTCAGAAATTGGAAATGGTCTGTTATGGTTTGTTAGATGATGTATGTTAGGCATAAAGGACAAATAGTGATGGGGAGGGTTGTACTTGCAGGGGAGAAAGAGTACTGAGCCCTCGGTTTTATGAGAGCCGTCTGTATCAGATATCCACCACGGAACGAAGCGATGGTTCGGGCCTGAGGGACGGCATAGGCAGCACAGAGAAAGGAAGGCGGCCAGGAAGGAAGCCGCCCCAGCTGCATGTACAGCCATAGCCTGGTGCCCAGACTGCTGGAGGGCCCGGCCGGAGCGCCGGCACAGTCCCACGCCCGGCCTCACTCTGGGCCTGCGGAATCCGCATCTCGAGGCGGGAGATAGTAATTGTCTTTGCAGGGATGAACAGTTCCCCAGGGAGGACGTTTGATGTGTGTGTGCAGTCTCTCCCTGCTTGCTGCACTCATGGCTCAGAATTCTTAGAACTTGCAAAGACGACCATCTCTGCAGTGTCCCCCTCCCGTAGACTGGCCCCTCGGGGTTGTATGCTCCTCTCCTTACCATCCCACCAGGGGGTGTCACCCCCTACTGAGGTGTTCCTTTGGGCCAGTTTGACTAGAGGAGACTGTCTTGCAGGACACCGTGCTCTCCTTGCTTTTTCTCCCGCTGGTCACTCGTCGTCAGCCTCCTTTGCTGTAACCCCACCCGCTGAATCCCCTCCATGCCTGGGGGGCACTGAGGCATCTCAGCAAGGCGCCAGGTCTCTGCAGACACTTCTAAAAACTTCCGCTGCTCTCCTGGATGTGAATTGGAGTTTTTGTTTTGCTTTATTGCATGTTTTATAAGTAACACATGTGATATAGTCTAATACAAAGTTTAGACATTTCTCATACGATGGCACAGCTCTCTCTAGTCCATTATATTTCTTGCATCCCTGGGCTTCCTGCCCATGATGGGGATGTGTCCTAATTTGAAATTTAGATGTTTCTGTCACCACAGCTCAGTCAGCCAGAGCCCAGCAGGGACAAACCTGTAGGCCGACAGAGTCACGCTCACTGGCTTCCAGCTTCGAGGGAGACCACACACCAGAGGAACAGAGTGTGTCTCACCAACAAGGGAGGAGCTAGAGCTTTTGGAGTATCTTAGAGAGCGGTGGACTTTCAGCGATGCTTAGTGAAGTCCTATTCTGATTGGCTCAGACCAGGGCTGGGTGTTAAGGTCTAGGCTGATGTGGCCCCACCACTCTATTTCCTTGGAAAGTACAAAGTTAAGAGAAACGTGGAATGGCGCGTCCAGAAACTCCCTCATCTGAGACTCCACACCTACGCAGGAAATCCAGACTCCTTTTCGTTGTCCAGAATGGGATGTTTCATTCTTTCTGTTACCATTTCAAGTAGCAAAGTTCCTCACAGTGTGGGATTATAGAAGAAACGATGTCTCAGTGAGATCAAAATGCCTTAGTCATTCAAAGAAGGGCAGTGTTAGGACACTTCACCGCTGTGACCTTGGGAGAAGTACGGCTTCCCGTTAACCTTTCACCTGACTTTGTGCTTATTGTTCCAGCTGGCTTTGCAAGTAGCGGGGCCGATTTTTACTTTCTCCGTCTCACTGACCAGCTGTCTCACGGGCACTGCATTCCTCCCACCCGTTGTCCTACCATGCTCGATTTTTGACCCAGTGGGCTAGGATACGTGTTAGTTTGAGATTTTGATGAAGGATAAATGACCAAAGTGCTTAGCATCTGCATTTGGCATCGTAAGCTACCTAAGAACTTGAGAAGCACTAAAAAATAACTTAGTGGAAAATGACCTGGAAAAGAAAGCTGCTATTTGAACTGATATTAGAAACGTGGGGAAGGGAAGCAGGAATAACAAAAGAAAAGCAGTGGTTTGAAGCCTTCAGAGGGACTCAGTCCTTCAGTCTCCTTAATGTCACACCGAGAGATCTGGTCTAAGGAGATCACCAGCTTTGAGGGAAAAGATCATAGACAAGGATACATTATTTATCATGGTGAAAAACTGAAAATAATTTAGACATTAAAGGTGTTGTTATATACCTAAAATGAATATTTAGTGCCATGGGAAATGATCATGAACATGAAGTAAGCGCCAAAGGAGAAAATAAAAGAAAAATCAGGAAATTAAAATACAAAGTATGATATCAACTTTATTTTTTTATTTAGATGCTATGTATAAAAAATGTCTACAAGGAATCACCAAAACATAAAAGACGGTTATCTCAGTGTGGCTAACTTATCAAAGATTCTGTTTCTTTATTCTATATTTTCTACAATAAACTTATATTATTCAGAGCATGACCATAAGCATGCGTTACAATAATACAGTGCAGTTCTAAAAATAAGTGTGTATCACTCAGAGAAAGAAATTAGTTACTTTTGGGAAAATAGTGATGGTTCTTAGCTGTAAAATAGATATTATATGAGGGAGATGATAGGCTACAGTGTTACCCATATTCATGGGCTTGTCGGAATGTATTTTTCCCACCTTTTCCCTGTTAGATTGAGGGACATAACTTTGCATTTTTGATGGTGGTTTATATACTGAACAGGCTGACTGAATCTGAGTCTTTTTCTTAATTGTAGAATTTTTAGCATGTAACCCTTTTTTGCATAATTAGTCACTTCTACCAGTAGAAGTAACAAATTTAGTAGACCAGAATGTAGTAGTAGCTTGGCATTGGTTGTTATGCCCAGAAAAGGGATTTCAAACTTTAAACCCTGTTACTACTGATGTTATTTTTAACTTTTTCTATTTCTACTTTTTCTAGAGTATTTCTAGGCTCCCAAAAGTTAAAGAATGATTAAATACTATGTATCTATCACAAGAAATATGTGGGAAATTATTTAAATTTGGTTACGATCCATCGGGATATATGGACAAAGGAAGTTTTGGATTTAGATTGTCTTTCTACCACTTATAGCAAAGTTATTTTTATAAAGAGGAATGTACATAAGTCTTTATCTGGAAATAAATATGACTATAGAGTTTCTAAAATGTGTAGCAACACTGTTAAGTCTTCAGTAGACTTGTCTTTTTGACCCTCTAGAGTCCAGGACGATGTCTGGAGAACTTCCACCGAACATTAACATCAAGGAACCTCGATGGGATCAAAGCACCTTTGTTGGACGAGCCAATCATTTCTTCACTGTGACAGATCCCAGGAATATCCTGTTAACCAACGAACAACTAGAGAATGCAAGAAAAATAGTGCATGATTACAGGTAACCTTCATGATTATGCTTTTTTGATTAATACGGTAATAGGTCATCATGTTAGCCTGTTGTCTTTTAAACCTTCACTTAGTGATTTTACAACTTTTCTTTTTTTTTTGCAATGGAATCATCTTTACCCCCCCAAAAAAGAGGAAATAGGAAGGCGTGTTTTATCCCCAGAGGCTGAGCCTTAGTGCAGATATCTGGGGTTCACAGTGACCTGAAAATAAGACAGCCATCCTTCCAACTCCTAGGTACCAATCCGTGAGGTCACCTTTCCCAGCACTCTCCCTCCTGCTCTCTAGTTCATCCCTGTATCCATAGCCCACCCCCTCCACTTGCATCTTTCTGTCCCCAGATGGAGAGAGCACCATGCAAAAAGCAGGTGGTCAGAATTAGAGTGGGTTGGTTGCTTCTGAAATTAAGCCTCAGTGAACGAACCTTGCCGGGAGGGACTCAGACGGAAAGATGCTGTAGCAGGTTTGTAGGTTTGGGCTGCGGTTCATGGATTCAAAGAGCCAGTCGTGACGTCAGAGAAGAGCGGTGCTCTAACAAGGCAGTGGTCACAACTGTCTCCATAAAAGACCACATGAGAAATATGTTGGGCTTCGTGGGCCACAGAGGGTTTCTGCCCCATAGTTTTCTCAGTTTTTTATTTTTGTTTTGGGCGTTTTTAAAAATTCTATATTTTTAAAAATACAATCTTTTAAAAAATTAAAAGCCACTCTTAGCAGGTGAGGCAGACAGGCCACAGACAGTAATTTACAGACTCCTGCTCTGGGGGAGTCAGCCAGAAGCTGAGATCTGGAGCAGCGGGCGCTACGCCACCCAAACATGCCGTGAGCGGCACCCACAGGCAGGTGTTTGATGGTCACGTGGGTGGTCAGGGAAGGAAGCAGGGCAGTCTGCAAAGTTCATCATCAGTCACTGAGGCTGGCCAGATCTTAGCCCGTACCAGCACATCAAGAGAAAAGAGCCGAGCGGCAGAACATCTTGGAACCTTATGCCAAAGTACCAAAGAACGGACAGAGGAAGAACAGAAGCACGCGTCAGGAATTCGGGAAGGGAGGTGTTCTGTGAATCTGGAACAAAAGCCATAAAGCAGAGAGGTGCAGATCAAAAGACAGAGGAGTTGAAAAGAAGACATAAAAGCACTGCAAAGGAGGTAACACTGGAGAGCAAAACAGGGGCAGTGGGAGGCACGAATTACAGCGCTGGCTCGCTCGGTGAAAAAGGAGCAACAAAGACGTGGAGAATAAACCCGAGACACTCCGCCAGTGGGGGAGAGCAGAGGTTGGCATGCTTTCCCCGCAGAGGGCCAGGGAGCGCTGTTCTCAGCTTTGCAGGCCATACATTCTCTCGTGCATATCCTTGTTGTTTTTGCTTGTTTTTACAACCCCCTAAAAGTGTAAAAACCATTTTTAGCACACAAGCCATTCAGAAGCAGTCCATGGGCTATATAGTTTGTCAGTTCCCGATAACAGATGGGAAGGTGGAAGCAGATTAGGGTTTCCAAGAAAGGGGGGAAAGCCTCCAAAGGAGCCTGCTTTTGGGAAGATGAAAATATTCCATACCATGACGCTGGAGGTGGCTGCACCACTCTACCTTTTCCAGAACTCACCAAGTCATGCACTTAAAATGGGTGACTTTTACTGCAATTAAATTATACCTCGGTGAAGCCGATTTAATTTTTTGAAAAAGGAGATGCTTCCCAATTAATTTGCAGCACTGATACTGTAAATGACAGAAGTACACTGAAAGAGTACAGTGACCAATCTTGTAAATTAATAATGTAAAAATCCAGAATAAAATACAAGCACATCAAATCCAGCCTTTCATGAAAGTATGAACAAGTAGGATTTATTCTAGGAATAAAAAGTTGTTTAAGGGGTGCCTGGGTGGCTCAGGGGGTTAAGCCTCTGCCTTCGGCTCAGGTCATGATCTCAGGGTCCTGGGATCGAGCCCCACATCGGGCTCTCTGCTCCATGGAGAGCCTGTTTCCTCCTCTCTCTCTCTCTGCCTGCCACTCTGCCTACTTGTGATCTCTATCTGTCAAATAAATAAATAAAATCTTTAAAAAAAAAAAAGTTGTTTAATTTTAGGACATCTATCAGTGGAATTTCTCACATTGAAGCAAGAAAGTCACATCTTGATAGATGCCTGAAAGAAGGTTAAATTATCCATGTGTTCCTCAGAAAATAATTGATCAGCTAGGAATAATGTACTGTATTTCTTTAATATGGTAAAGAACACACACCCACGTTAGCAGCCAGCATCACACCAAATAATGAAAGAGTAGAGCTGAACGTCCCAGACAGTTCAGCAGAAAAGCAATCCTGTGGAATATTTCACCCCAACACCAGAGAGGGAGAGAGAGAAAGAAAGAAAGGCAGAAAGACAGAGAAAGATAGAAAGAGGGGGGGAGGAAAGGAGGGGAGAAGGAAAGAAAGGAGAGAAAGTGGCTTCCATAGTCAAATTTGGAAAAGTTTACAGCCCATTTTCTTTTTTTTCTTAAGATTTTATTTTTAGGGGTGCCTGGGTGGCTCAGTGGGTTAAAGCCTCTGCCTTCAGCTCAGACCCTTCCCCAGGGTCCTGGGATCGAGCCCCGCATCGGGCTCTGTGCTCAGCGGGGAGCCTGCTTCCTCTCTCTCTGCCTGCCTCTCTGCCTACTTGTGATCTGTCAAATAAATAAATAAAATCTTTAAAAAAAAAAAAAAGATTTTATTTTTACATAATCTCCATAGCCAACATGGGGCTTGAACTTAAAACTCAGATCAAGAGTTGTGTGCCTCACTGACTGAACCAGCCAGGCACCCCGATATCCCATTCTTAAGGATGCCACACCCCAATGACTGCAAAAAATTCCAAGAAGTATTAGAATAAATAAAGCCATTAGTCTGTTTTCCCAGACTTGAACATAACACCTTATAACACTCCCCTAAAAGTTTTGCTCTATGAGGCGTTCTCTTTAAAGTCAGGAGCAAGTCAGGGATACCTTTATCTTCACTATTGTATAACATTGTTCTGGAGCTCTAACCAATTCGAAAGACCTAAAAAAGAAGTAAAAGGGGTGCCTGACTGATTTATCAGTTGTGCATGGGATCCTGAATTTGAGCCGCATGTTGAGCGTAGACATTGCTTAAATAAATAAACTTTAAAAAAACGAAGACAGATGAAAGAAGATGTACAAATCATAAAAACATGAGATAATTTCTTTCGTCTTTTTTTTTTTTTGCAAATGATGATTTTCTCACCAATCAACTAAAAAAACCCAATAGAACCAATAAGAGAATACAACAAGTAGGCTACACAAAAAGTCATCAGTTTCCTATACATCAGCAATAATTTATTAGACAGTATTATGTTAATAGCATCCATAAGGCCAAAAATATACATGTACCTATATATAAAATATCTGGGATTACATTTGCCCAGAAGCGTGAAACAGTTCCAGACCCACTTGGGGGTGGTCATTAAAAGAAGCTTTTGATAACTGGAGAAACATGCAGTAAGTCTGGATGAAAAGTCTTAATACAGTACAGGTGTCAATGCTCTCCAAATCAGTACAGTTTCAGTCCAAATACAATTGTGCTCACCTATAAAACTGACAGAATAATTCTAAGCATTGTCTGAAAAAAGAAGGAGCATAACTTAGGTTAGTTTTTGTTTGTTTTTGTTTTATGACGGAGAGAGACCGAGCACTAGCCGGCAGAGGGAGAGGGAGAAGCAGGCTCCCTGCTGAGTAAGGAGCCTGACAATGGCCCATTCCCAGGACCTGAGATGATGACCTGAACCAAAGGCACTTGCTTAACCAACTGAGCCACCCAGACGCCCCAAGAATGAACATAACTTAGGCACTTTTGAAAGAGGAGAGACTGCTGTTCTACCAGGCATAGAATAGATTGTCAGTGGGAGGGTGGGCATGGGCCCCACAGGGTAAAGATAGTGGGAACTCTATAGAAAGCCCCAACACCAACCAAGCCCAGCATTCACAGGATCTCAACTGATGATGACTATAGCATTTCAATCTGGGTGTTAGGGTGGCAGAGCAGCCAATGGTAAAGTCAAGTTAAGCAAGTTCAGCATTTTCCTATCTTAAGATAAATCCCAAATAAATTAAAAACCTCAGCGACAATTAAAAAAACAAACAAACAAAAAACCAAAACAAAAAATAACCCTGTTACGAAAGTGCAAGACGTAGAGGTGAATATTTGTATAACCCTGAAGCAGGTCAGCCCTTTCTAGGCAAAGACTGCGTTTTTTCCTGCCTGACTACATCAAGATAAAAATGTTCAGGGGAGCAGATAACACAGCTAACAAGATTGGCCTACAGCGGGTCAAGTTGGATCAAGTTTACACGAGAGCCGCTTTGGCAGTGAGGGTGCTGCCCCCCCACCCCAGGATCAACAGACATACTCAAGTAGAGAAGAATGACAAAAAACATATTCACCGCCTCAAAATTTTACATAACTTTGGGCTCAGCATTTGTTTCTGATTAATAATCTTAGATGCAGAGGAGAGATTTATTAAGGAGATTGACTTCCTCATCCTTTACAAATGGAAAAGATTAGAAGCAATTAAAGTGCCCCGAAGTAGGGATTGGGATAATCCACTATTAGAATCCTGCGGCGGAAGACTGGAGCATTTAAAAGGATGATGTGTTAGTTTCCTAAGGCGGCTGTAACCAATTACCACCGACCGAGTGGCTTCAGACAGTGGAAATTTGTTCTGTTGCAGTTCTGGAGGCTAAAGTCGGAAACCACGGTGTCGGGAGAGTGACTGCCCTCTGAAGGCTCTGCGGGAGAATCTTTCCTCTCCTCTTCCAGCTTCCGGTGGCCCGAGGGATGCCTTGATGTTCCTTGATTTGGAGCCACATTATTCCAGTCTCTGCCTCTGAAATCACAGGACCTTCTTTGTCTGCACGTGGCTGGCATTCAAGGGCACTGGTCATCAGATTTACGGCTCTCCCTTATCAGCATGACCTCATTTTAACTATTACATCCACAAAGACCCTGGTTCCAAATAAGATCACATTCTGAGGTTCTGGGTGGATATGAATTTGGAGGGACACTATTCAACCCAGTACAGCTGATAGAGAAGAAGCTCTAAAGATATAGAAAAGCGTTTACGAAATACTATTCATTTTTAAAAGGTCGTCCTAAAGCAACAGGTATGGTGTTCATAGAGATCCTGAGGGGGCATAGACAGATCTGCAAGACTGTGGCTGCGTCTTCACAAAACAGTATCAGTGGACATGAGTAATCAAGGGCTTCAGTGGTTTTAATTGCATTAATGAATGTCTATTTTCTAAGTTTTTAGCAATGAACATGTGTTTCTTTGATAACAGGATAAAACAATGAGCCCTTCTAATCTGGGGTTTCAGACTGTAGGTATAAAAATTAATTGATGTTCTTGATTGCCACAGCTTTTGTCTAATTGGTTGAAAATATTACAGAATTTGCAAAGTTCAAAATACATTTTTAAATATGTCATTTAAAACAAGGGTATTTCAGAGTTGAATACTTTAAGACACAAAATAAGTTTTTGTTTTTCAAAATTGCAGACGGTTTGAGATACGTGGGTTTGAAATGTTCATTGTGTTTACTTTCTTTTGTGTTACTAAAATTTCCCCGCAGGCACAGTTGTTTTAGGTAAGGGTAAACTTCAAAACTTTTCTAGCGCCATGTCTCTAGAGCACTGGAGAGCTCTTGGAAATGAACGGTTTTTTTTATTCTTCTTCTTACTTTCTGTCCTTGTCACTTCTTGTTTCCCTAGGCAAGGGATTCTTCCTCCAGGTCTTACAGAAAATGAATTATGGAGAGCAAAGTACATCTATGATTCAGCTTTTCATCCTGACACGGGTGAAAAGATGATTTTGATAGGAAGAATGTCAGCTCAGGTTCCAATGAACATGACCATCACAGGTTGTATGATGACATTTTATAGGTAAGTTATGGAAATGTAACAACCGTTCACTTTATACTCAGAAGCTTAAAGTACATTTTCGTATGTAAATAGTTTTATTGAAATAAATGTCATTCCACGCTGACTTCCATTTTGTGTAAATGTCATAACTTGGGGGTGGGGGGGTGGCCTTAACTTTCCCCGGTGCTAAATAAATAGTATTCTCTCTGTCGTTCAAAAGGAGACTGAATTTTTCCCTAACTCTTAACACCCGAAAGAAAATGAGATGGATAGCCGTAGCCATAGCCATAGCCGTAGCCATAGCCATAGCTGTAGCGGTAGACGCAGACATTCAGGCTCTCACGTGCTGTGAGGAGGCAGCAGGGCTCCTTCACCCACACACAGCTGGCTTTTCTCCCCAAGAGAAGGAGCATTGAGTGTCTGCTGTATGCCAGGCTGTCTGCAGATTTAAGATCAGGTTTAAGGAGGATGACTTGATCCTTACTGTAGCCCTTTGAGCTTGGGGTTACCCAGAGCCAAAGAAGGAGGCTGAGAATCAGAGGGCGCCCTTCTGCCCCGCCACTCAGGTCTGAAGCCTTCGACGCAGGACGCACGGTCTCTGACCTAGCGTTCTCCTTCCGCAGTCCATCTCCTCTGTGGTTACTGGTGTTCACATTTTCTGTTCCGCCCAGCGGCTAGGTCACAGGCGATGGCCGGTGTGTGATGGATCGCTCTGTTTTAGGACCACACCGGCGGTGCTGTTCTGGCAATGGATCAACCAGTCCTTCAACGCCGTGGTCAATTACACCAACAGAAGCGGAGACGCTCCCCTCACTGTAAAGTAAGACCCTGAGACTTAATCATTCTCCGTACTGCCCCAGTGTGCGTTGGGGTCAGTGGTGTGTAGACTGTTGGTGTTCTTCAGAATATCATGGGGCATATTTTCCAGTAGCCCTTCTCTTCCTGCCTTCCCATCAAGATGATCATCTTATCTTGTCCAGCCTGCCTTCTCAGAGATCATTCATGCTGTTAGGGATGCTGGTGGGCACACCCTCAAGCAGGACACAGGGTGGGCAGTCGAGGGCCAGCCTGTGGCAGATGACAGGCTGTACCCCCGTCTACCCCGAGCCTGTGGCCAGTTAACACCATCAAAATTAGCGGCGTCCAGAGTGTGATCTCTGCAGAAACCAAGGGGACTTTTATTTAGGATTTGTCTTTAAATAAGCCATCTATAGAGCCAAACAGAAAGTAATAGCTATAAAATATTGCCTCCTATAAAAAAAAAAAAGTGTTCAAGCAGATTTAAGAAATTAGCGAACCAAAACTTTTAGCTCAACTTGGAGAACACTTCAGAGTGTTTTCTTTTTTGTCACTTTAGATAGCTTCTGACAGTCCGTATCCTTCTCTTGTCACCATATGGAGCAAAGGCTGTGGAAATCTGTCACCAACAGTGTTTAACACACCTTCATTTCTTCCAACCCTTTGAATTCACACTTATTTTATTTATTTGTATTTAGTTATTTATTTATTTATTTATCTTTTGAGAGAGAGCACACCGGGGGTGGGGGCGGGGGAGAGAAAGAGAGGGATACAGAACCTTAAGCAGACTCCACACCCAGCACAGAACCCAGTGTGGGCCTCGATCTCACGACCCTGAGATCATGACCTGAGCCGAAAGCCAGAGCCAGATGCTTAACTGACTGAGCCACGCAGGTGCCCCTCCAGTTGTATTTAAAATAAGAGAAAACAGCTGTGCTTAACTGCCTGTTGCAGATGGGACTTCTAGGATTTTGATGCAGCGAGTTAGTTTTAAGAATAGCAGCATGGAAGTTTTATCCCAGTATGTGTATTCATACTTTGAGAAGTACTTTTAATTTAGGCAGATATGCTGCCGCACTTCGGCTGAGATGCCGTTCCCTACACACGCGCAGCTCCTCCGTTACCCCCAGTATCGACTCCCTACGGCCGCTGCTGAAGGTGCTGGTCGGCTTGTCTGCATGAACAGCCACTCTTCCAGGGGCTGCTTGCTTCCAGTCTGCGTTTGTCCGTTTGTAGAGTGATAATGAGGCTTGTTTTGTGGGCTCTTCCTTCTTAATCATGCCCTTTCACATTGTCCCCTCGTTTTCTCAGAAAGTGTTGAACCCGAGTTTCCTGATGGGCACTCGTTTTTCACGCTCTATCCTTTCTTTGCAGTGAGTTGGGAGCAGCTTACGTTTCCGCAACAACTGGTGCCGTGGCAACAGCTCTAGGACTTAACGCGTTAACCAAGGTACTCGGATTTTTATTACCCCAGTAAGGCTTCTTCCTTTGTTCTTACCCGACTGCCCCCAGGTCTCTCCATTATTTCTCAAAATAGCTCAGGTCCTGGGACTTTCTTGTTACCATCATTATCTTTGCCTGCCTATCTCAGTGGGGTCTCAGAAGTGCTGTCACCAGCCACCTCTGCCAAGCCCCTGGTCCGTCCCTGGCACTGCGTCTTATGTGGCCAGTGCTCCCCAACCCTAACTGCCCACTAGAGGCTGTGTGCCGAGGAGTGGGCCCGCACCCACACCTCTGGAAAGGTGGAGACACCAGCTCCTGAACTCAAGACACCATGACTCCAAGGCCTACCCCGGTCCATCAGCCAGGCCAATCTGGTAAATGTCTTGGAAGCCCACCTTGTCCCAGTGCACCCGTGCTGGAAATCCACAAATACTCCCAGGAAACAAGTTTTGAAAGTACTCCTGGCCTGAGTTGCCACACAAATAAGACTGTTTTTAGCAAGCTTTCAAGGAAAAGTAAGTATTTGCATTCAGTCACATGGGCAAAGTAAGATAATGCATTTGGGATTTTTCTTTCCGCAGCATGTCTCACCACTCATAGGACGTTTTGTTCCCTTTGCTGCCGTGGCTGCTGCTAATTGCATTAATATCCCATTAATGAGGCAAAGGTAAGATTCATATGCAGTCTTAGAAAGGACTGGTGCTTGACAGTACAGTCTGGTAATAATTCATTTTGTTGGAACTTTTAATAATTCATTTTAATATTTATGGATGGAATTACATGGGACCTCAGGTTTGTTTCCAAGTAATCTATTGTGGGCACAAGGATAGCTCCGTTAATGAAACAAGCTTAGCCATGAGTTGCTAATTATTGAAGTAGGCTAATGAGTATGTGGGGGGTTAGAATACTCTCTCGACTTCTGTGTAATAAAAAGTTTAAAACATATATTTCCAACTAACATTTGGTTGTTTTAGAGCTAGGCAAAGAAGGCCCATGCACAGAAAGTCTGTTCTCTAAAATAGGCTGCCCCCCACCCCAGAACTGTCTTAATGGGTTTAAAATAATATTAATCTATATTTTTGGAAGTATTTTATAGAACTGGTAGAAATTTAAAGGGAAGAAAGAACAAGAAAAAGCATTTTGGAACGGATAATGAAGAACAGGGTAAAATAGGAGCTATAATTTTAGTGCTAGTGGCCAGAGTTAACTATCCAGCGGTGCCATAGACTAGTGATTCCCATGTCAGTGTGGTGAGTTTACTCACTAATGCCGTGTTTTATAATTGTCTCTCATTTGGAAAGCTGCTGAGATTTGCATGTGAGCATAGAAATTAGCCTTACCTTTAAGTTAGCATGTTCACCCTTTGAATTACATTGTTATTAAAAATGCAACACTTTTTTCCCACGGAGTTTACTAGTGTTATTTTACTTTTCTTTTTTTAAGATTTTATTTACTAATTTATTTATTTGAGACAGAGAGAATGACAGTGAGCAGGGGGAGGGGCAGAGGGAGAGGGTCCTGGGATCAAGTCCCGAGTTCAGCAGGGAGTCTGCTTCTCTCTCTCCCTCTGCCCCTCCCCACTGCTCGATCTCTCTTTCTGTCAAAGAAATAAAATCTTTAAAAAATAAAAATGGACCTGTTAGTGCCAAAAATGACACTCAAGTGGGCATTTGGATTCAGTATGGACTTGACGTTCCGTAGCACAGTGCCATTTCCAGCCGTCTCACAACGGCCTCTGTGAACTTCTTTGCCTGCGTTTTGCTCGGCAGGGAGCTCAAAGTTGGCATTCCCGTCACAGATGAGAATGGGAACCGCTTGGGTGAGTCAGCCAACGCTGCAAAACAAGCCATCATGCAAGTCGTCGTCTCCAGGATTCTAATGGCAGCCCCGGGCATGGGTTAGTAGCTCTTTGTCCACGGGCCCTGGCTGTAGCCTGCGGGGTGGGAAGCAGCGTGGGCACGGGAGTGGTGTGATCCTGAGGCTTTAGGGGCATGACATCCAGGCTGTGTGCAGCGTGAAGAGGGCCAGCAGTGATGGTTGGAGCCTGGCGAGGAGGCTGGCCCGCTACAGCAGGCCAGTGATGGGGCTGGTTTGGACCAGGGTGGGGATAGTACGGGTGATGAGAACTTGAAGGCAAAAATTTTGATTTTCGTATACCTTGAGAAGAAACTTCTAAAAATTCTTGAATCAGAATAATAATTTCTACTGAAGATTTACTTGTATCGATGAGAAACCCTAGGAATACAAACCAAGTCGGGTCGGTTAGAGCAGCTATGAAGATGTATGCCAAGCTTCTGCCCAGTTTTGTCCATAGGGCTGGGAGTTGACATGACCCACAGCCAAAATCTGCATTGTTTGTGGCTCCTCTGAGACCCTTTCACTCACTCCTACGACTTCCTGGAGCCACCCTCAGACCAAGGCCGAGAGAAAATTCTCAGACTCACTCAGGAAACAGAGGGCCTGGGAAGTCTAGTGCTCTTTACAAAAAAAAAAAAAGAAATTAGTGGGATTAATTTCATCATCTCAGCTGGATGCAAAAAGCACTTGGCTATTAACCAAGCTGTCAAAAGAAGCACACTTAATCACTTGTTGTCAGCTTGTCCTGCTAGTATCTTTTGTTGTCTTTAAGTGCCTTTTGTCATTGTGAGTCTCATCAGCCCACGAGTAAGAGTAGGTAACCAAAGTTGAAGAAAAGGGCCTGAAGGAAAATTTTGCGGAACTTTATAGTGGCATCAGTTATAATCCCAGATCATTCAGGTTATCTGATGTAGCCACTGTTAAATGATTGAATGAAGGAATCCCTTGGCATCCTCAGGAGACAGCAGTGCTCACTGCGGGGGGTGGGTGTGCTGTGGAAACCGCAGTCGTGAAACAGACCAGGGTCCCCAGAGTCTGGGACCAGCACACAGTCACTAACCCACGAGGGGCTGCAGCGCCTGTCCCAACACACCAGCAATATCCGGATTTCCACATCTGCCACCATCAGGCTTACAACTCCAACCTCTCTGTCCTGCATTTGCTTTTGGTTTGCGTTTTGTTCTTGCTCATTTTGAAAAACGAGGTTCGCCTTTGGAGCTCATCCAGCCCAACAGATCTATTTCTAGTGGCTTGGTTATTTTAAACATTTATGAGTCCCCAGAGAAGAAACACAACCTTTCTGTCCCAGTGGAAGCTATAGAGGTAATTGCCATATGGAAGTGGTTGATGTGACAGTTTAGTCTGCTAGAAATTGTACTATAATTTATAATAATAAATGTCAATAATAAGTAATAATGTACTACTGCTACCCAAGGTGTTACCTGCATTATTGTCTCCAACCATCACAGCCAGTTTGATAGAATTCTCCCCATGTTATTGATGAGGAAAACAGAACACTGAGGCCCAGAGAAGTTAGGTGACTTTTCTTCCTCAAGGCAGGAATCTTTTTCTTAAGGCAGAATCTTTTTACTGGACTCCACGTGGGAGGGATGCCTGGGGGAGGTTGCATTTGTTTAATTAGCACAGAAGGGGAAAATTCCTGAGGTTTGTACTGTTTCAAGGTAAATGTAAAGTTCTCTTCAAGATTATAAAATTTTCTGGCTGGTAAAGAGCATTATTACATTGTTTTAAAATTTTTTAAATGCTAAAGCATTCTAAAGAATTACTGCAAATAATTTCGCTCTGCCAGTGTGAAAATAGCCTAAAAGTGACATAAACCTTTTTGTGAAATAGTTGAAAAGGCGTGAACTGAAAATAAATATTAAAGAAAGATTGAAATGGATCTGTCTTTCCTTGCAGCCATCCCTCCATTTATCATGAACACTTTGGAGAAGAAAGCCTTCCTAAAGGTAAGCCCCAGTTCTAGTCTCTGTCCATTCCTTTCAATTCCTTTTCAGACTTCAAACAATACAGAATATTTCCTACCCAGTGCGTAAAGAATTGAAGGCCACTGGCACTTGGGCACTTGTGTAAATAAAAAGATGTTTCCAGGAACATTTCACTTCTGATCTCAGATCTTTGAAAAAACTTTCATAACTGAAGGTGGCTACCCATTCCTCCTGAGAGGCTGTACTCAGTTAAGGCTTATCTTGGTCATCCTTTGGATGCCCAGCCAGGTGATCATGAAGAGACACTGTGAATTTGGGATGACGTGTGTGTACGTCACTACACATACTACCAGAAATGAAAAAAGAGTTTGGAGTAGTAGCTTTATAGGACCCTGAATACAGTACCCAGTGTATTTTCCTTTGGTGATCATATCTACTAAGTAATTCATTAATCTGTCAGCCACCTCCCTTCAGGGTCTGAAAATATTACAGGATGACACTGTGAACAAGGACTCTTAATGGTTCCCCGCTGCTTTTTCTAGCTTCCCGGTTTAAAGCAGTAGTGTTCGTGCTTCACCCTCATTTTCCCTTTCTTTCACAAGCGGGATACAATAGAACAGGGTGACTCACTTGGCTCATGCGGTTTGGAAAGTGGCCCTGGTAGATCTGCCAAGAAAAAGGAGCCCGGTTCCTCACTGGAGGAGCAGGTGTGTTGTGGGGAAGACCACAGCTCTCCTGGGGTGAATTGTTTTGGCTCTGGGAAACAGAACCATAACATCGGGGGGATGATATATAAAGCTTTAAACAAGGACATAGTTCACAAGCCAAACACTTCCTGAATGACGTCATTGATTAGGAGTATGTTCACTGACCCGTATACCTCCCATGTGCCCCAGAAGGAAAGCTACGGTCAACACTAAGTGAGCATTTCATAAACTTTCAGTATAGGGGCATTCTTAGAGAAGTAAGCCAGAAAGTCTGCTGTGAGGAAACAGTAATGTTGAGTGCCTCCTTTGACCCACGGTAGCCAGGTTGTCACCTGTCAGTGCCCCAACCCCATGTTAGGGAAAGGGGACCCTCTCCAGCACCTTTTCTCCTATTCTTGTTTGCGTGCTTTGGGCACATGGAAGAAGTTTCTATTCCATGCGTGTCCTCTTCTAGCAATGTTACACGTCGGTATGAATTGTGCAGTGTGTTGTCGTGGCTCTGTAGCGACAGGACTGTCCCGAAGAACAAAACAGTTACATACATGGAAGCAGGAAAGCTGTTGGTACGGACCAAAATGTCTTTGTGGACTCATCTGGCATTTTACCTACCTGATGTAGCCACTGAGCTCTTCTTCTGTGAATTAATGATGAAGTTTTGCCCAAATCTCTTCCTGGTGCAAAGCTCAGAAAAGGATGAACCCTTAAAAGCTGCTAATGGATTAGTTTATGTACTAGAACAGCGACTATATCCTAAAACTACCAAATTACATACACATTTGGAATTCATCAGCTTTGACATCTCCGTGATTTTCAAATAATCTGAAAAAAATTAGTGCTCCTTTCTCTATCCGTCCCTGCTTTACTTATGGGAAGTGATCTAGGCTTTGAAAGAAGAAACCTATCAAATTAATTGAAGTGGAGTTTGCAGCATCCCTCCAGGACACTGGCAGTGAGTGGCCCCTCCAGGACACCCATAACTGTGCAGACATCGACTTGATGCCCTGAGTTTTTCTCTCCTGGCTCTTGATCAGGAAAGGCTTTAGGATTAGGATTATAGCTATGGGCTTTCTCACATTAATAAATGAGTGTATACTTTGTTTTCCTCCCTCTCCTCAGTGTGCACCTTTTAGCTTTGCTTGATACTGTATTTCGCCCATAATAACTTGGAGATGTGCCACCTCACCTGTCCTTCACAAAGCAGCCCTCTGTCTGCCCCACTCTCCAGCGCTGAAGGGCCCCACCGGGAGCTGGGGGAGGCCACCGGCCTCAGAACCACCGTGGCAAGGTCTGGAGCGGTGGTCAGAGTAGCCGACGCTCAGTCCTAACGTCCCGCTGGCTACAGGGGGTCCGGTTGTGCCTGTCCTGCCCCAGACCTCGGAGGAGGACGTTGCTTTGGGAAGGGAATGGCGGAATGTTGTTGAGCTGTTCATACACACGTACCACTCCCCAAGCGCAGCGTGGCCTTACCCTGAAATACGGCATTTTGCCCACATAAAGAGTTCCAGAGGACTTAACTGAGAGTCTAGCTCTTGCTAAAACATAGGCCAGGGTGGCTTGTCTTACTGTCCCTACATTTCCACCTCCAGAGCACTTGCCCATGCCTCGGGAGGGGCCGGCTTCACCGTGCCCCTTCTACAGAGGGTGCAGAGGCCACTTGTCCCACGGCTCATTACGACCACATGGGCGGTGTCTGCCTCCCTCTGTGCCCTGACTGTTCCCAGAGCCCCGGTGGCTGCGTGTGCCCCTCTGCAGGGAGGTGCTTAACCGGGCTTCTACCTCGGCCGTGACCAAACCTACCTGCAAACATGAAACAAATGGCACATTCTTGGCGTTTTTAGCAGTGAGCTTGGGGAGCAGTCAGTGTGACTCATCCCTCCCCCTGCACTGTACCTTTTCCCCAGTGGAACGCTGGAAAAAAGCATCCGCAGTGGACAGGAGACTCACAGAAATCTTTGTGATAAACCAGAGAGCTCACTGCTGACACCCTGGCCCTTCAAAGAACGGGAAGAATAACTCCAGTGGTCCCTTTCCCTTGAGGCGCTTTCACTGGGAGTAAGTCCAGTTAATGTGGTTTGGGTCAGATTGTGGTTCCTCATTCCTCAAGTTCTACTCCTTCCATATCTCCTTTAATAAAAGGTGGCTGCTCTGTCTACGCTGGAGATTTTCAGGACTTTCTGTTAAACGTGGATGTAGCATTTATTTACCCACCCTCTCATTTATTTACTCGGTTACGCTTTGCTGAGTGCCCATTACATGCCACACAACATGCGACGAGCTGAGTCATAGAAACAGAGCTAGAGTCCTGCTCGTGGGGACCATACAGCTCAGGGACGGAAAGAGGTACATGGCAGGGGTTCTGATCCTTGCTGATTACAGCACAGGGAATAGAGGAGTTGACTCCCTTAACGACAGGCGGTGGCAGAGACTAGAAGAGGACGGCTCAAGGCTCCATGCTTTGCCGCAGCTCACAGAGAGGACACAGCATGGCTTCTTGGGAGACTTGTGGATGCCGGGGTCCCTGGCATTGGGGCCCTATATAGGGGGTTGACCGTACCATATATAAAAATTAACAATATATAAAAATTAACTCCCCGTGGTTCATATACTCCAGACGTAAAAACCAACAACTGTAAAACTCCTAGCAAAAAATATAATAGACCACCTTTGAGATCAAGAGTTTGGCCAAGTTTTCTTAGACAAAACAGCAAAGGCAGTTCATAAGAGAAAAAGTGATAAATTGGGCTTCATCAGAAGGGTAACATTCTGTTGTTTGAAAACTTTAAGAGATGAAAAGAGAAATAGGCTGGGAGAAAATCTATACAAAGATTGTATCTGGTCAAGGATTTCTATCCAGAAGATTTAAGTCGCTCAGTACTTGTTTAAGAAAACAACCCAGTTTTTAAAATGGGCAGCAGGTCTGAACGGATGTTTCACCAAATACATATCCTGTATCAAATAAGCACATGAAAGACACTCAGTATCTTTATTTACTGGGGAAATCCACATTCAAACTACATGAGCTGTGACCAAACACCTACAGGAATGGTTAAAATCAAAGGGACTGACCACAGCATGTGTTGGTGAGGATGTGGAGGAACTAGAACTCCCATATCCTGCTGGTGAGAATGAAGAATGATACAGCCACTTGGGACAGTAGTTTGGTAGTTTCTTAAAAAGTGAAATAGATGCTTCAGTCATTTCACTCCTAGCTATTTACCTAGGAGAAATGAAAGCCTGTGTCTATAAAAGATGAATGCTTCACAACAGCTTTATTTGCAATAGCCCCCAAACCAGCAACAACCCAGATGTTCGTCAGCAGGAGAGTAGATGATCAAATTGTGCCTTTTCCATACAATGGAACCCCTCACTCAGCGAGGAAGGGTGACGAACTAGTGATCCATGCAGCCACCCGAATGAATCCCAAAATGATTTCCTAAAAGAATAGATATACTTAAAATGCTAGAGAATATAAACATATGTAGTGGCAAAAAGGAGATCAGAGGTTGCCAGGGAATGGGGTGCAGGGATTAGGAAAGAGAAAGGAACTGCCAAGGGCACAAGGAACAGGGAAAGCATTAGGGGTGACGGATACATTCATGACCTTGATCATAGCGGTGGCTTCACAGCTGAGTACATGTATAAAAACTTAGGTTGTACACGGCAAATACGTGTGGTTTACTGTATGTCAGCAAAGCTATGAGAAAAAAGACGCTGGCAGAGAGCCATACTAACTTTTTGTTAGTATGTAACTTTTTGTTAGTAGTAACTTTTTAGTTAGTTAATAGTAATTAGTAGTTAGTTAGTAGTAACTTTTTGTGAGAGCTATACTCACTTTTTGAGCTTTTTCCTCATTGAATATATGTCTTTTACACTTATGATTATTCTTTAATTCACTGTAAATTTTTGTTTACAGTATCCTCTGTTTGCACAATTCTAAGTGTGTAAGTATGTAGGGGAAGACCAGACCTCCACAGCTCACTCATGGAGTCTCAGGCTAAGTGCTATTTAAGAGGTAGGGGTGAGTCAAGTGGTTAGGGTGCTGGAGAGGAGTTGGGAGACTCAGGGATGACATCCAGGTTGGGTTAAGTCAGAATTGTCCAGGCCCATTGTCATTGCTCAGAGCCTTTCCATCGAAACCTTCAGCACGAGCCATAGTCCACCTTCCACTCATATACACCTTGTTTGAGACTGCTCACAGCTGGCCCCTGGGATAACACGTTAGCCCCGTTGGCTTCAGACAGGAGCCCACTTGAAATCAGAAGGCCACTCCCGGGTTCAAGTTCATCCTCCACACAATCTCCTTCAGCACTTAGTCTGCCTTCCCTCACCCGGCACGGACGTCACGTCCGGCAAGTGCCTGGGAGAGGACGTACGTCTCCTTATGAAGATCCATCATCGTCACACAGAGCTAGTTACCCAAGATACAATATGTCCTTTTCTTGCTGTCCTTTGAGGGGTGGGTCTGTCCCCTCTTGATGACATCTCTCCCTTCCTCTCTAGTACATGCCTCTCTCCCCTCACGTTAACCTGCGTGACGTACTTATGTGCCAGAGGAGTCTTCTCGGGGACCAGGGTACGCCTCTCATGCAAGCCTCTTGGGGATCATGATCTTTGAACAAGTTGTGTTGACTCTGCGCTAAGTTGGCTGATTTCATAATAACCAGTGCACGACTCAGCTGCCGCTGTTTCAGGGGCCTTGTTTCTAGAACCATCTATCCCATTGTTCTCTATCTTGCATGTTTTGGTACCACTCCTTTTTGAAAACTAAAAGTCTAACAGTGCCTATTCTCCAAAAGACCAACCAATTCGTTCATTTCCATTAAAAAAAAAAAAAAAGCTACAGGCAAAAATTTTCTGTGGCAGCAGTAATTTTAACCATATTGACAGCAACTAAAAGCAAGACAGGGAAGCTGAGGGGGAGGAGGGAAGTGTCTGCTGGGTCCTGCTATGCTCCAGGCTCCGTCCCGGGTACTTGACGAAAGTCAACCTGGTGCAGCTCCCACGCACTTGGAGGCAACTGTTGCCTTGGAGAGGGCGGGCTCTGGCTGCCCTATCCCCACAGTCGGGAACCAGGCAGCAGGGCAGACGGTTGCATATAGGTCTGTCTGTCTGCCATCCTGGGTACCGGGCTGCACCGCCTCCCCAGTAGGAGGTGACGATTCCTCTACCTGTTCAGAGCTGAGCATCTCTCAGATGACACGTGCAAGAGAAAAAACTGAGAAGCCACTTGATCTTCGCATGTCGATCAAGGAGGCTGCAGGAAGTCAGGACTAACATGCTTGTTGCAGTGTCACCCCCAGATTCCACTAACCCAGGCCTTGGAACGTCGAGCATTTCCTCCCTATTAATCAGTGGAAGAAATTGTCTCTGTATGAAAAGTCTCCAAAATAATTTCTCTCTCAATACAGAGGTTCCCGTGGATGAGCGCACCTATTCAAGTTGGATTAGTTGGCTTTTGGTGAGTGGAATTAATTTCTTTTTTAAAGGTAGACACACAACATGTGAAAGGTGAAGGAACAGGTTCATAAAGTGGGATGCAAGTTTTGAAAGTGAGGCCATCCCAGAACATCTGGAACTTATGGTCCCAAAAATTAGACAGAAGTAGAGACAAACCTACAATGTTTGGGACTATTTGCATGATACTCTTTTAAACTTCTGCTAGGTCTCTTGATGTTTTTTAAAATTATCTTGATAGTCCTTATAATAAAATTAGACAAACAAGACGTATTTTTTGTAAGGAAATATGGTGCTCAAAGAAAGGGGATTGTTACAAAGGTAAAAGAGAGGAAGAATCTGGAAGTCATCTGCTTGAAAATGCTCTCATTTGTCTTTTTCTTGTTTCTTTTTTAAGTTTGGTATTTGCTACACCTCTGTGCTGTGCTCTGTTTCCTCAGAAAAGGTATGTAAAAAAAAAAAAAAGAAAGGCATGTATTTGCTATTCCTCGGAACCATCATGAGTTTTAATCTGGAAACCAGTTGAAGACGCGGTTTACCGTCTTTCACTTGAAGGGAAGTTGAGGTTCAAAAAGATGAATGAAGCCGGGTCTCTGAGAGGAAGAAGTCCAGACAGAAGTCCAAGACACACCTGTTGAATCTCCAAACTCTCTTTATCCAGCTCCACCATTACATTTGGGAATGCTTTATTCTTTCATAAGAGTCGGGTTAACTCTGGTACAAATATGGCTTCTCATCATCCAGTCCATTGGCCAGGGCAGCCACAACACAGGCATGTTCAAACTTAGAGACCGCCCTAGGGACAGCGGTTATATGCACGTAGCCTCCGTGGTTGGTTTATTTGCTGCCCTTCTTCCTGCTTAGTTTCTTGCCTTAAAATCCTTACTGTGTACTTTCATCACAAGCTACCCTTAAATCCCGCTTTTGATGGAAGAACTGGGTGGATGGGCATTAAATCAGCACGGGATACATCAAGGTCTTCTGCCTCTTGCCAATCTGACATGAAGGTACAGAGAGCAGCAGTTTGTTGTTTTGCTTTTGTCTGAAGGTTCCCAGGCTCCTGCCGTGGTAATACCCCCAGTGGGCCCTGGACCTGGTATAGCCTTTCATGCCCGAGGCTTTCCAAGGCCGACGAGGTGTGCTGGAACTAACTTGCTCAGGTCCACTCCACCTGATAAAGAACTCCGCCTTTTATCTGCTCTCTCACTTCTGTCTTCAACTCCTACTGGTCTTAAATAGGGCATTAAATGTCAAGGAGAGGGAACCTCGAAATCACCTTGATGCCTAGAGCCATACCCCGTGGGAGGAGGCCACACCTTCAGAATTTATCCTCTGAGCCCATTACAGATGCATTTCCTCAAATCTAAAGAGGGGTAATAACATCTATTGGCTTTCCAAACCCCAAAAGCTCAGGACTTAACATAAGAAAAGTTTATTTCTCTAATATATACCAGCGTCGGACAGTTGACCTTGTACTCAGTGACGTAGAGATAGTACATGTGAAATGCTGAGAACACCCAACACAAGGTAAGCCCTTGATATATAAAGCTGTTTCAGTTTAGAGATTGAAGGATTTGAAAATCCATTAAGGAGTTTCCTACATAGGCCTTGGCTTAAATGAAGTTTATTCCCGGTTTTTGCTTATACGTTTGTTTCTTTCTCTTTTTGTTTCTTACTCCCCAGTTGGATAGCACAGGGTTACTCCTATTCCTTGGTTCGTTACGCACTATCCTTGTTGGTCCAAACGTGACCTTATTTTGCTTGATGATATCATGAATATCCATGAGTCCGTTGCCCACTCATGAATACAAATATGACCAAGAAGTTATGTGTTTTTGTAGGTTCTTCCCAGCCCATACTCCTCCCTCCTGCAGATTGAACCATTATACTGCATTTCACATTTATCAGACTGTTGCATTTAAAAATTTTATTATATATATATTTTCCTAATGTTTCATTTTGCCTCTTTGGGAACTTTTTAGGGAAGGGTGTCATGCTACATATAGTCCTCTGCTGCTCGTTCTTTTTTATTTAATACCATGTAGCTAAGATCCATCCACATTCCTGCATGTAGCGAAGTTCATTCACAGTTTACGGCAGTGAAATAGTTCATTGTATAAACATGCTGCAGGGGCACCTGGTTGGCTTAGTGGGTTAGAGCCTCTGCCTTCGGCTCGGGTCATGATCTCAGGGTCCTGGGATCAAGCCCCGCATCGGGCTCTCTGCTCAGCAGGGAGCCTGCTTCCTCCTCTCTCTCTCTGCCTGCCTCTCTGCCTACTTGTGATCTCTGTCTGTCAAATAAATAAATAAAATCTTTAAATATGCTGCAGTCCTCCATTCTCCTGCACACGTGAGAAATAATCCTTACCAGCATTTGTGGGAAGCAGCAAGAAAGTGTTGCTTTGAGAGGAAATCATAGTTTTAAATGTATTTATTAGAAAGGAAGAATGGCTGAAAATCCAGCACTAAATGTCCAACTTAAGGTCAAAAAGGAACAGAAAGAATATACCGCGGGGAAAGAAAAAGGAAGGAGATAAGAAATAGGAGGATCCAGGACGTCAAAAGTTGGTTCTTTGAAAATAGTAACAAAATGGTAACAAATAGTAGCAAAATCATCTTGTGATGTCAGTCACAACGAAAGGAACAGATGATACAAATGAAGAAAACTACAGATATTAAAGCGCGAGTCTTCCCACCACCCAGGAGGGTTTGAATAACTTTAATTCCAAAATCAGGGTTTGCCTTTATAATATAGTAATAGTAATTACGAGTACTTCTAGATAGATGGAATAACAACCAAGAGGCCGTATAGCGTGCTGGTTGGGAGCACAGCTTTGGGTTCAAGAAAGACCTGGCTTTGAATCTCAGGTGTCACTCCAGTTTCCTTATCTGTAAAACTAGGATAATATCAGACTTTCAGGGTTTTTATAAGGATTAAAATGCATAATATCTGGTCCAACAAATGGACAGATCGTCAGCAGCGTCATTTTAAGACTATCCCACGTCCACTGTGTAGAACATAACCATGATGGTACTTTTCCCCCCTATGTTCACAGTATTTCTCTTATTTTTTTACATTTGCTTATATATCTATATTCTGTCTTTTTTAACTTCATATTTTTCCATATCTCAACTACATTATAGACCAAATCTTTTAAAAACAAATTATGTATCAAAAAAAAAAAGATTAATTACATATCAAAATATTACCAGGTTTTCTGGTAATAAGCACTCTGGACAATTTTTCTTCATACTTTTATATAATAAGTATGCATTTATAACCCAAAAAAAACAAGCTTTAAGACATATACACATATAATGCATTCAGTACTTTTAAATGCGTAAAGCAAAGACTGACAGAGGTCATCGCTCAGTAGTGTGTGACAATGGTGATTTTTTTTTCTTGTACAGCTTAGTATTTTCTAAAAGGTTTGCAATAAGCATGTATTATTATACAACGAAGAAAAGAATATTCGTGCAAGTGAATTTTTAGTGTTAAAAATTCCACTAAGTACATTTGACTTTTCTACTAATGGTGAACATTATTTTGTTTCCTTGGGGAAGCGGCATCACCACACACTGCCTCCCAGTGCCAGCGGGAGCTGAGAGTGTCCTTCCGTGCTTGCCTTCCTCCCAGCCATGAACAGTTTTTAAGCTTTTAATAATTGCTGGGCTCTTAAGCTGCATTTATTTGATTATTAGCAACAATTAATTTTCCAGAAGGAACCAGGCATTAATGGTCAAGGCACGGGAAGCATTTTTCAAACAGGACTGTCCTGCAATGCCAGTCGTGATTCAGGGAGCGGCATGGCGGGGAGGTCCCTTCTCCACCGTGTCGAGAGTCTCATTCCCTGCTCTGCCCCTGTAATAATCCTGTCATTTCTCCCTTACCCAGTTCCATGTCTGTGACAAGCTTGGAGCCTGATTTGCAAGCCAAGATCCAAGAGACCTATCCTGAATTACGACGTGTATACTTTAATAAGGGGTTGTAAAGTAGCGGAAGAAACTCTGCAGCTTATACCGCCTACTGCAAACCTGGTGAGGAAAAGCCTGTTCCACCTGGGTTCTCCCAGTTACAGAAACCTTTTAAAGACCCACATTAGCCTTTTAGAGTCAAGCTGCTACTTTTCAGCACAGCACCTGGTACGGGCCAGGCGCCCAACAACCTGTTGGCTCCCTTACATTTGAATCATGATGTAATTTACAGAAATACCCTTCCTCTAGCTTTTATAGTAATTGTTTTCCAAAGATGATATACCAGCCCTCACCCAGAGTTTTAAAAAGCACTGCTAGGCATAGAGTAGATGTTCAGCATACGCTCAATAAATATGTATTGACTGTCAGTGAGTGGAAAGGAAATCTGTTTGAAATACTGAATTTTTTACCCCATTCTTGTTTCAAATCACTCAGCAGTGATTGGAGAAAACACAAAAGCTCTGAGCCTAAGCTATAAAAAGTGACTCGTAAATATTAAGGACGTTTGCTTCCACTTTGGGCAGTGCGTAACCCAAAGTAGATGTGGAGCCTTTTGGATTTATAGGGTAAAAGCTCTTCCATCTACTTCCCGAAAGTCACAGTAACAAACAAATGTGATGAGCCATCCCAGCTGTCAGCAGCTATGTGCATTCATATCGCTGGTAGATTTCTTTGATTGACTTTGAAATTTATTCTGTTTTACATTCCTGTGAAGTTAATCTTACTTTGCACTTGTTGACTTTATATCCAATTATTTACGTCAAATCAAATAACTGAAATGTACAAATGTCTAATTTTGGAAGTATGTTCAATACTGTATGACTGGGTTGGATCTGCTTTATTTGATCTTTTTAGCAGTGAGAGCACAGATCCAGCTAGCTACATATCTTTTCTTCTCATAGACCCCTTCGGCTCTCAGAAAGATATGGAAATAATGTGTGTGTGAATCAGTCACAAATGAATTGTACTTGAATATCATGTGTTACATTCCACCCTGATTGTCCATGGACCACTGTTTACATCATCTGTAGTAGCTTCACCTATGTTTAATGTAACATTATGTTTCAAGTCTGAAGATGTTCAAGGCCTGTGCCGGATGGTGGCTGTGTGGAGTGAGGCCACTCAGTTCGATTGTAATTCAGAGACTTGTAAGTGGGGGGAAAAAAAATGTAGAAACTAGTTTTGACAGATTTTTCCAGACAATGTGACCAGACTGAATTTCCTCATAAAGAAAAAATGGTGTGCCTTGTGTCTGTGTTTCTCTTTTCTCTGAAAGGATTAAAGGATCTGAAGCTTGGGGCCACTCTGAGCCTTCCTTTGTGCCACCAGAATTTTCTCATTTAGATTTTCTGTCTGAAACCATTTGAGGCAAACTAGCTTCCCCATGCCATGCTGGCCTTGGATGTGTTTTGCTGCCATAGATGCTTCTCTTTAAAAAGTAGGAAGAGCCTGAAATTCAAGGCAGATCTTCATGAGGTGCTGAAAAGGTACTTTTTAAGGAGAAACCGAAGCCCCCTCTCCCCCAAACAACCTGCCCTGGTTAATCTCAAAATTCTTACTCCCCAACCCCCTTAACTGTTGGCTCCATCTCAGTATCTTAACCTTCCCTGAGAAATTCATCAGCAGCTGGCTCGAAGGTTGATGAACTAACTGAAACTGTATACACACCAGAAAGGGATCATGAACATGGAGGCGTGTCTTTTTAAACATTATTAACCGAAGCTTCCAACTCTTGATGCTTTTATATAGAAATATGAACTGTATTGTTTAATTGTGGTTTATAAAAAGGAACAAATGAACCAAGATTGGCAATTTTGCTGATCTCTTAGACATACCTTTTCTGGAGAAAAATCCTACATGAAGTGCAATGAGCTTATAAAGGTAAATAGATACCCGTATTTCTATCAACGTCATGAGGAATTACGATCGTGCATATTTATTGACTGCTAGTTTTTATTTCAGTATTAGCACAGCGTCTCGCCAGTGTTGGAATCAATGTATTATTTCAGTTCAACTGGATGAAATGTTAAATAAACTCAGAACGAAAATAAATTCTCTCTTTTATTTGTATGTAAAGGGTAATACAGTTTTATGGTGCAACTGATGGTCCCTTTCATTCAGACTTAACATCTGGGTACCGGCAGTAACTCCTGATTTTGTATTATGCGTTCAGCAGGAAATACTTTCCTGTCTTTGGCTCCCAGCCTTCCACCTTCAGGAACACCGGAACACCGTATGCGCCGAGCACAGGCCTCCTCCCAGCCCCACAAAGTGTAATTCCAGGAATATTTGTTATTATGAGCACAGAGGGGACGTGTAATTCTGCTGTAGGTCCAGATAACGAACACCACTGCACCCAGTGGGGAGGTAAATTCACTCTCGGGTTGTTTGTCAGATTCTAATGTGGAAGTAGCCTAGGACATAGCTCACAAAGAAAAATCTCAGTGAGTCCAACTGGGGAATGTGTGCTTTATGACCAGGTTAATAAAGGATTGAGTGTTTTAACCTTGTTCCAGTCTCTACATCTGTTTTGCTACCGTAACTCTGTTCATCGCTTCAGTGAGTTAACTATATACAAGAGCTTGGGTCTAGAGGTCAGAGCTGGTGTAATCTTGGTTGTACCCACTCTTAAAATACATGTGTTTGGGTGACTGACATTCTCCGTGACCTTCAGTTTTGTTTGTTTGCTCTGGTTTTGGAGAAAATCACTGAATGCACCCCAGAGAGTCGTTGTGAATGAACGAGAGCGCCCCTTTACAGCAGTTAGCATGTTGCCTGGCACAGAGTGAACTCAACGAATGCTTGCCTGGCGTGAATTTATTTGTTCTAGAGACACTGCTTGTCCATTCAGCTTACCAGCTTATCGGTGGTCTTGGTAAGATTTCAGAACCCCAGCAACTTCCCCAGAGTTAACCCACAACCTCACTAGAAATATACCAGGTTAAAATGGTGAAATGGAGACACTTGAATCCATCCCGTTAAAAGGTCCAACAACTAAGGTTTTGCCCAGACGCAACAAAGGTAGGAAAAGTCTCTGCTCGCAAATGAGCAAACCGGGGCTTCCAGTGGTGAGGTGCAAGCTCAAGACCACTCCCGGGCGCTTGAAAACTACAGCTGGAGCCAACATCTGACCCCCAGACCTTCGACCCTCTCCAAAAATGTAAGTGACTGGAATACTCGAATAAAATTAATTTTTCCTTCATGTATGCAGAATTTCACAGAAAGCTGGAGAATAAGCTTATATTTGGTAGTGATGACTATATGGTGTCCCTTCAAACATAGATACTCCAAGTGTGGTCCATAGACGGGAACAGCCAAGTCTGTTAGAATGTGAGTTCTGGGGCCCCACCCCCAGACCGCTACTGAACCAGAACTCGCAGGAGCCCTGTTGCTGTCACAGTGTGAGAGGTTCTGGCTGTAGCCACATCTCAGGTGTTCCCAGAGATCTGAGTGTCATTGGGCTCATCTCAAGATCCACTTACAATTTTCTAGGAATTTGCATATTTTGCCCCTCACAGGATTCTAAGAAAGTATCAAGGCTCAGTGTTGATACACTTAGGGACACAGTATCAATAAGCTTACGAGGGCAGGGACGTCTGTTTTGTCCACTGACCTATCTCCAGCACCTAGAGCAGTTGGTGCCAGCCATGGGTCCACGTGATACGGGGTTCACAATGGACCCTTTCCAGGAGTCTAAAAAAGCGTCCTCTTTTTTCCTTGCAGAAAAGAATCCATTTTGTGTCACGAAGAGGAGATCATCACCAGGATGTGGAAAGAAGAGGGAAGGTGAGCTTTTCTGGGAACAGAGCCCGAAACAAACACTGTCCCTAGAAAGTGAGAAGGGAAATGGCAGCAAGCAAGCTGCAACCATCATTATGGGGGTGCCCCTCCATCCCTGGGGGCGCGCCCCTGCCCCTAAAGCCTCTGGAGCAGAAAGGGCACTTGGGATGATACACGTTTAATCCTCAAGAAACCTGTTGTATCCCCATCTCTGAAGAGAAGGAATTTGAGGCTCAGGGAAGTGCACTAACTTGTCTCATGCTGCACAGCGGCCCAACCACCCTCTCAGTCCTGGCCTGTCAGACTCAACTATTTCCCACTGTGTTTCATGGATCCAAAGTGGCCTTCTCCTCCTTCCTCCTTTCTTCCTCCTTCCTTCCTCCTCCTTCTTCCTCCTTCTTCTTCTTCCATATGTCACTCCTTATAATTCCCCCAAGGGTTTTCTCTCCATTCAAAAGTCAGGAAACAGACTTGAAGAAGTGGAATCACTTGCCACAAACCTAACTTGGTTCATTCAAAGGACTACGGGAGACGACTCACATTCCCACATACACACCCACACATACACAAGGTGTGTGGAACCTATAGGTCAGCAAGATCCTTTCTAGAGCCCCGAATTAAAGTAAGAGTGGGGAGCTGTGGTTCTCAAAACATGGTCCCTGGACCAGCAGCAGCATGAAAACTAGAAATGCATGTTCTCGGGGCCTTCCCATAAGTGCTGAATCCGAAGCTCTGAAGTTGGTGGGGAGAAGGGGACCGGCCAACATTTAGCAAGTCCTCTCTGAGTAATTCTGATCTATCCAAGGTTGGGCCGCTAGGTGGATGCTTGGATGATCGCTGCAGCTGAATTTCGCTCAGCTCCATGCACTGAGGCAGCAATCTCAACTTCCCCATCTGCAGAATGGAAATAACCCTCCTTCCCTCACTGGGTACTTACGAGGATTCGGGGAATATTAATAAGTAGGCAGCAGCCAGGCTGGTGCCTGGCACAGTGCACACTCGCCCAGCACATTGTAACTAAAATTCAAATGTGTGATCCCTGGGGCTGAAAGTTTGGCAACACTCTGGTGGTGATCTTGCTGGGAAACAGGCACTCTCATGACTGCGGGGTGGGTGTGTGAGTTGCTAGGATTTCTCTGCAAGACAGTTTGGCAGTATCTATCAAAACTTACAAAAGCACATGCCCTCTTTTAAGCAATTCCACTGCTAAGAATTAATCCCACAGATAAACACAGTCAGGTTCATGGAAGGCCTGGCTACTCGCATGGGAGCCATATGGATACAATGTGTCAGGCAGAAGTTGGAGGAAGGGGGAGGTTGGAGGGTGTTTCCAGAGAAATTGCTAGGCAGAAAAAAAAGGATGCTCGACTGTGGGGTAATCGAAAATACAAGAACACATTTTCCCTTGGGAACTTTTAAAAATGTTTCTGATTTGGATTCTTCCAAGATGGATAGATAAATGGATTAGTAAGAGCTGATTGTCACAAATAGAAACAAACTAAATTGAGAAGAAAGACTATCTTACTATTTTCTGGGTGGTGGGATTATAAGTGATTTTTGAATTCTTTTAGGTTTTACTGATTTTTCAGACTTTCTTCTGCTTCAGGATTCAGGACATAATAAAAGTATTTTTAAAGCTTCTGTGTATGACAATCCCAATTGTCTAATAAATGCACAGATAAGTATAAAAGACAGAAGGGTATAGACCAAAATGGTTAACCGTTGTCTCTGGGTTTACAGGTAATCTGTATTTTCTTTACGGTTTCCTGTGTTTCAGATTTTCTGGAATGCATCTGTATTCATTTTATCATCAGATAAACAAGTTCAGGCTGAAGAGTAATGCCATGGCTTGACGCCTCCTGGGATCCTCTCCAGCTCCAAACAGGCTCCCTGGTTTCCCAGCTCGCATTGGGGAGGGAGCTGCAGCTCTGGAGGGACGCCGCTAGGGTGCACCATTGCCCAAAAGGTAGCGCGGCTGAGTCCCGTGCCACCCCCCCGCCCCCCAGCTGACCACAGGTGTCCCGAGGCAACCGACCACAACCGGAGTGGATCTCTGAATTTCCGAGGCTACCCTCAGGCAGAGGGTAGAGGAAGCCAGGGGAAAGACGAAGCGATGGCCGAGTTTGGCATGCGACAGGCAGTAATGGATTTAGCCAGGGAAGCCCCTGATCCAGGCGGGCGGGGGTGGAGCGGGACACGGAACAAGGGGAG